GAAGAAATTTGCGGAAGTGCGATGATGATGATGATGATGATGATGGCGAAAGGGGTCTTGAAAACTAACTAATGCAGGGAAAAGGTTACACATGTACTATTGCTGCTTCTGTTGGTGTGCAGCTGCTGCTATTGGTAGATTATATACTACTATGTTCTATGTGTGTATTTGTGAATTGAACAGAGACACACACACACACACAAATATATACGGAAAGGCATGCAAGTAAGCAAGCAAGCAAAGTAAGTTTGAAAGCAAGACGAAAATGCGTGGTCGTTTGTGTGTCCCTGGAACTTCCGGCTTACATTCATACTCTCTCACGCGTTATATACGTTGAAAACTTCTTGATACAAAGCAGAGCGTGCGCGTAGAGTAACAGCAATAGCAATAGCAGCAACAGCAGCAGCAGCTTTATCGACTTTAGTTCGCACAAACAAGTCCGCGAACCAGGTGAAGCATGTGCAAAGGTCTTAAGACTTCGTTTCTTGAGTCTACGCCTTAAAACTTTTTCTTCCTTTGCAGGGTTTCTCAACCTAATTGTTTATTTTTAATATAATAGCTATTTTTTAATTACACCTGCAACTAAAATTTATTTTTTAACTTGTATAGGAGAACTTTTTAATTTGTATAGATTACGTTTAGTATTGTATAATATTAATGGAAGGGCTTTAATACTTCTGTTTTTTTTATAATATTTTTATAGATACTCTGAACAGAAAACAAGGTTATAAAGGGTTGAATATATTTCTTCTATTCAAAGTTTTATCCTACTCTCTCTCTCTCTTTCTCTCTCTTTCTAATATAAAAGAAGTTAACTTTCTAATCACTTCTAAGCCATTCGATTTTATTTCTCTCTAATTTACGAGAATTAACTTGAAAACACGTTTTAACCCAACTTCGTAGTTTTCTTCTTTACGATTGGTCAGATTAGTTAACTCCTTGTTGAATTCTATTGGTGTGCATGTTATATGTCTTCCTATTGGTCGAACTTTCATCTCTATTTTATTTATCTTCTTACTATTTTCCTATTAATAGAAAATGGTGTTCGAAAAGATTTTTAAGCCATACTTCAGGAGCGTATATCATAGAAAAATCATGAAAAGATAATAAAAAAAAAAGAAAACATTTAACTTTTAATTGTAAATTATATTACCGAAGGTTATAGGTTAAAATTTTGTAGGGCAACATTGGTTGTTATATTTAGATGACCCTTTTATACGTAAATAATACGTGCAATATCAGATATTGTCTATTTAATATTAAAAATATTCGAACTATCTTTTTCCATTCCGGCCATCTTTATTTCTGTCTTTTTCTCTCTCTCTTCTACACTGTAACAAATTAATCTTTCACGTAACTTTATAAATACATAGAATGTCGACGTTGACCCCAAATGCCAATTTAGTTCAATTCCCCTTTTACGTTTTTCTTCTTCTTCTTCTTCTTTTTATCTTATTTCATAAATTTTATTCCAGGAGAGAGATATTTCCAAGTACACGTTGGTGTAAGGTTGAAAGTAGTCAACCGTAAAAACGTTTATCGATCGTTGCAAGTCAGGTTAACGATAGGATCGATTCGAAACATTTCTAAGTCGACGAACTATAGAAAGATCTTTTATTTATTTGTTTTATTTTATCATACTTTAGAAAAGAAAGAAACGAGAATAATATATATACTATATATACTATATTTTCCTCGTAAAATATAGATTGGACGAAATAAAACATAAATAAATTCATATTTAATCATAAAAACAAACCTACATGTTTTTCTCTTTTTTCTTTTCCCTTAAATAGAATAATTTTGTAACATTTTTTTTTGTTTAAATCATACACATTATAAACTTTACCAAAAAAATAGAGAAAAGGAATATATATTCTACTAACAACCTGCACATTAAAATTTTTTTTCTCACAAAGAGAATTATTACATAGATATGATTAAGAATTCGTATATATATATATATATATATATTAATAAAAAAGTTTTCCCAAAAGAGTTTTCGAAGGTACGATGAAGTTTCATTTACGAGCACGTTCCTCATTCTCACAGAGGTGTCCCGTTTTATGTAAGCTGCATGCATGGCCTGCGTTCTACGCTTGTATGCAACGTTACATAGAGGAGAGGTCTATCGATCCTAACGCGTCTCCCTTATTTACCACCCCCTCCCCAACCCTCTTCTCACTCTCTCTCTATTTCTCTCTCTCCCCTTTCTTTCCCTTCTCCACCCTATTTTCCTCTATCCATCTCTCTTTTTCTTTCTTGCACGCTCGTTCAGCGCGTCCTGCTTCTCGGTGAACTATATATACGTGTATATATATATGTATATGTATATATGTGTATATAGCACGGTACAGCTGTGTTTGAGTTTTCCTATTTTCATGTCCACGTTTCGCTTTCTTCTCAGTATCGATCAACCAAAGCCAGTTCGTCCTCAACTAAGGAAGAACTAACTCGTCGTTACCCATAAATTCCCCCATAAGACGACGACGACGACCACCCCTCAAGCACACTCGATAGAAAACTTTTTCATGCACAGCATCATTACGTCCAATGGGTTTAATGATTTTTCTTTTTTTTTTTTCTTTTTTTAAATTAGATTAAAATTCATATAATAATAAACCCTTCCCATAAGGATTTATTATCGAATACGATATTCCGTCTATATATGATTTCTATATGAAACGTGTGTTTGTATGGTAATTATATTTGTAAAAATATATTTTCTTTTGTTTTAATCACACACATGGTGATTTTTTATTTCATTGTTTTAACAAGACCCCGACGAGTGTTTTAAGAATCTAGGGATAAATTGTTGGAATGTTTTACAACTTTTTTTTCCTTGTCTCTATCTTTCCTAGGGATATGACTGACCATAGGTCGATTGTCGTCTCTCTCTCTCTCTCTCTCTCTCTTTAAGGCTCATTAGAAAAAGAAAGAATAAACATAGTAGGAACGTATATCAAAGAATAGTAGTGGGGGTTGTGTTAGAGGTGGGAGGGGGTCACTGACCGTTACGTCATCAAGCAACCATAGACTAGAGAAGACCATCCGTTGACCGATCGCTAATTTTGATAATGTGTTGGAATTTTAATATTATATATATAACATATGTGTTTATGTCCGAAATAACATTCGTAGAAACTTAAATATATGTATGGAAATTTTTATGAATGTCAGTCAGTAAGAGAGAAGTTGCACAATACTAATTTATAAACATGATGGATTATGCATACAAATTGTATGTTTTATAATTTATATAAATTGTTTCGTTAAAAAAGGTGTTTTCTTTTTCTTATTTAATTATATAAATACAATTTTTTTTTAAATATAATGCATATATAACGGAAACAATATTTAATAATCTAAGATACTTTAGAAATCTCGGCAAAAATAAGTAATCTTATCGCGAGTTAAATATTTTTTTGTATATATAAAATATTAATCTTTTTTTCTTTCTTTTTTTTTTTAAACGATGAAAAGAGCATTTCTCATAATATTCCTCCGTCTATCTCGTTTTTTTGATATCGTCACTTTTTTATAAGTCGAATTCTCAAGGTCAAAGGATGACTCACTTCCAGTAAATCGCGTTGATGGGTCAGTAATACGAAGAATGTTATGCGTTGCATCTGTCGTGTCCGAATTTATCTCATATATAACCGGACGTCGCTTTTAAAACTTCTTAGAGATATATATATATATAAATATATGCATCTTTCTCTTTCTTTCTAACACAAACTAAATTATATATATATATAGTAATCTCTGCGAATAAGTTACATGAGTCATAGAGAAAATAGATTCATTTATACATAAGTTTATTTAAATGTATAATTATATGTAGATAGGTTCTGAATAGAATATGGCCGCCGTAGTAGTGTTTATATAAACACGTATAAATATATTCTCATTAAAGTAATATTTCTCTCTGGAGAGGAGGAGACGCAGCTGTTTAGAACAGAAAAGCGCATTCACCTTATCATCAGCGACAAGAATATGGTGGTAGATTGTATTATTCGTAGCTGTGTGTGTGTCTATATGTTCCCCCTTTTTAAGCGCATGCGCAATAAAACAGTTGCGTGTATGCGTTCGTAGCTTTGTACGGAGCATGCGCAGAACGATAATCTCCACCTCGCCACGTGCTACATATACGGCGTCCATCATCATTCGCAATACCACGAGTGGGAACCAATAGCAACGCTTTATCACGAATCGTCATTTCTTTGAATATTCTCATTGGTTATATTTACTTCCACTACTTTACCACTACAATTTTAACTTCATTTTTTCTTGTGTATAATATATGTTTACCGGCATAGTGGGAAATCCGGTAATGCTAGCAATACCTCCCCTCCGGCATTGTCCGCAATGCAAAGCGTCTCTTGACAAAGTCGGAAATGTATTCATATGCATATCTTGTCTAGTTGTTAATTTTTTGTTTACATTTATTCCTGGTAAAGATAATAGTTTCTCCCAATCATTTTTGTTTTTGATATATAAAGTAAAAAAGGATCTCGTGACGTATAATTATATATATATACGGTAGAAAAAATCAAAATAGTTTTTCTTATGTTTAGAAAAGTCGTCAGGGTTGCGTCAGGGTTGACATCGATAAAGAAGTTTAGGAATGTATCTAATTTGTTGGATTATAAATGAACAAGTTTAGAGTTATTCTGATTGTGAGTTAACTATTATAGTAAAGTAAATCGTTATATTTGTGGTAAGAGAAAATACTGTGCGTTGTGTAACATAGGGAAATCGTTCCTAATGTCTATATTTAATAGTCATTATTTAGAAATAGTGTATTTATAAGATTAAATGCTATATGCTAACTAATGTCTAACAATAATTCATTTAAAACTACTATTTTAAACAACACGTTAGATGATCTCATACATTACCTAACCTAACAACACATCTTTCTCAAAACATTAATCATAATTAAGAACTTTAAAAAAAAGAAAAAAGAAACCATTCTAACAAAGAACCTTCACTCGTAGGCCGACGCAGAATTACGTGAACATCAAAAGCAGCAGTAGTCCGGTGTCACCGAGAACTGCCGGCGCAGGAACGTCGTATGTCCAAGGCGGTGCAGCAGCGGCATCGTCAGCGGCTGCTGCAACGGGAGGAAGCGGTGCCACGAGCTCGGGTGCATCAGGTCCATCGAATAGCAGCAATAGTAGCGGCGGTGGCGGCGGCAATAGTGGTAGTGGTGGTGGGGGCAGCATTAGCGTAGTTGGCGGTGGTGGCAGCACCGTCAACGCTGTTGTGGTTGGAGGAGGAGGTGGAGGAGTGAGCGTGGTAGCGCAGCCTGGCGGAGGAAGTGGAAACAGCGGAAATGGCGGCAACTGTTCGGTTGTTGGAGGAGGAGGAGGAAGTGGTGGTAGTAGTAGTAACAGTAATAACACCGGTGGAAATGTCAGTGGTGTTAGTGGTGTATCAGGGTCCAGTGGGAATCCAAATGGTGGTGGTGGGATTGGATGTGTTGGAAGTGGTGGAGGTGGAGGTGGTAGCGGTACTGGCGGCGGCGGTGGTGCTGGTCCACCAACCGGTTACGTTGCTTTACCAATACCAGGTGGTTTACGATACATCCATCCTTATCCACAAACTTCATCGTCGGTGTCCTCTGGCTCGGTAGTATCATCGGTTTCAGCAACTTCAGCAGCAGCCGTAGCTGCGGTAGCCAACTCGGCATCAGCAGTCGCAGCCGCAGCCGCTGTGGCAGCTGCAGCCGCGGCTGCTGCTGCTGGTACTGTACCACCAACTTCTGTACCAGCAACTGCATCAACTGCTAGCATCAGTCAAACACCACCGCCTCCTACGGGAACCGGATATGTTCCGAGGGATGCCTATCGTGGCCCCACTACAAACGTAGGTATTTTCCCCCATCGAGAATATGCCGTCTTATGTTTTGTTTTTCCCCCAACTTGTTTTTAGGCTCTTATAAAGAGAGGTTCTTCATCTCCCTTTCTCTCTCTATTTCTCTAGTTTTTATTGTAACGCGAATATCTGTCTCTATCGTATTATCTGCTAAACTTCGAACTTGAAAAGAATTTTAAAAATGCCCGCCTTTTTCACCCGCCATATTTCGACATCAATATTCAAATTCCTTTCGATTTCCCGCAATTCTATTATCGATTCTCGATTATTTGAAGAGTTTTGTTAAGAAGCAATAGTATGATTAACATTATTGCGCGTTTCTGTATGACCAGTTCATTTTCGTCTGTCGCTCGGTATTTGTTTGATATCTTTGAACGCAATACCGACATTGTATAGCCGGCATTTGTCCAATATTTTGCACGTGGTGTAGATAGTATTGCGGAATTAGTAAAAGTTTGTTCATTTTCATTTCCTTTGAAATAAACGACGAAATATAGTGAGAATAATGAATTTTAGAGAGTTCATCGATTTGTTTAATATTTTTCAAGAATGTTCGCATAATTTATTCGATTCGATGATCCAATATTATCAAAAATTTCCTAATCGTCCACATATTAGTATGGAAGACATACTGGATACTAGACAAGCTTCACTTTTAATAACTCAATGGTGTGTAATATATAAAACAAAGCCCACAGTTATTGAATTTATTACCAGTGAAGCTAATAAACCAGTTAATCCTAGGGAAGTAAATTGTCCAGCGTATTTTTCTTCTATTCTATCATCACATGATAATTATTTAAATATTTCAAATAAAATATCCAAGATGGATTCTAATTTTCTATCACTTAAGGTATTTACTATATTTACTATATAATTAATTTAATAAGTAGAAATTATTATACTATCGTATTACCATTTGCTATCATATTGTCTATTTAAGATGATAATATTACTCCCTCAAAAAAAAGAAACACGTGTATACATAAAATTAGTTACAATCACTTAATCGACTTTATAGTAATTGTGTATTTATGGTTAATCAAAGTAACTGCAACTTGAAACATTCTACATCTGCATCCGTAAGGAAATATAAAATATAAGAGATATACTTGGATGTAAGCATAAATGTACATGTCTACCACAGTTATGGTTCTGTCCTTGACTTTCACCATGCGTGGGTCTCCTCTCTTTCTATTTTTTCTCCTCCTCTTTCTCATTGACAATCCAGTCAGTTCTTTCACGCAATCATTTTAGTATTCTCCAAATGAAAGTATTCGTAAAAATTATACTTTAATAATCAAATCATTGTAAATCATTGTCGTTCTAATTGTAAAGAATTTATCTATGTATCATTTATATTTGTTTAGGAATTCTATGTTGAAGTAATGCTTGTTAAATTATTTTATTTGTACAAAACTCAATGGTATAGTTTCGCATTAATTGCCTGATGAAATATTTTTTAAATCAATTGAATAGTATGAGTCATTATTACATTTATTTATAGTTATTACGTACTAGATTAAGGCTTTATCAATGCTAAAAATAAAATATCGCTAGAAAATATCTCAAAAAATTTATGATGGAACAGGAGTTGGTGTAGGCGAGTGAAAGTTGCATTGATCTAATCATATGATGTGTGTATTACTTGTACGAATGTATATATATATATGTACAGGGTGTCCTGTAATTAGTGGTACAAGCGATAAACTAAGTCGAAAATGTAGAATCACATTTGTTAGTATATAATTTGGTTTTTAAAAAAAAGTAAAATATAAAAAATTAGTTGATTATGCGGACACTCAGTTGAGCTTGCAACTCTGACTGAAACTAAAAGTCTTATACGATAAGCATAAGAATATAGAACCTATAAAAGAAGTATAATCATATAAACAATGTTTGTAAATATATTAAGAAACCCAAATTGTTCCCTAAACTATTCGATAGTAAGATAGGGTAATATATAGAATTAAAACTGAATGGGGAGCTCTTGTTTACACGACAAATTTTCAAACTTATTTCTTGAAAACAAAGTCATATATGAATATATTTTATTCTATATTTCCCACTTAGCGTTTAATATAGAAACAATTCCTGTTTGCTTGTTCCACCGGTTAGAGCGTACCTTGTATTTATAGATTTATGATACTTATATTGGATAGAAGAATTTAAATAGTTTTCTCTTGGTTTCCTAGCATTGTGTGTAAGGTCGCTAGCATAGCAGCATCGTTTTGGTTGTTATTGCCAAGAATTATATTAACTGACGTCGATGAAAGACAAAATAATATAGTAATGATTTTAATTGTTTTTATAAATATATATCCAATTATCTTATATTCCTGGTATTGTTTAAAAAAGGAAAAGAAGAAAAAAGAAAAAAGAAATACTAAAGATGGAATTAGAAAATAGCAAGTGAGATAAGTAGTATGACCTTTGTTAAAAAAAAGTTATAATAATCGTCGATTTCCAGGGACACGCGACTCACATCATTTGTAGGTATAATCGGCAATGTGCCCTCTCTTGAACGGGGTCATCGATTTTCTTGAAATAGTTTATGCACGAGGATAGGATACTCGAGAGAAAGAGAAAGAGAAAGAGAAAGACAGAGATATTATAAACGCAATAGATAAAAGAAGAATATACGATCCATAAATACAGATTAATTAACATGATTAATTAAACTCTACAATAATCCAAAAATTGGTCCAATTATATTCGAATTATTTATTACTCTCAATTACTAACTCCCAAAAGAATACAGAATTTTACTTCGAATGGATTGGTCCAAGATACCTAAAAGTTTTGTTTACAACTTCTTGTCCGAGAGTCATTTAAAGGTCTCATTTACAAATCTTATATAATAATAATCCGGCTACAGCCAAAACAAAAAAATACACTCCCGTTTCTTTCTTTACTTAAGAAAAAAAAAATAATAATAAACGAACTAATTAGAAATATTGTTTTAAGGTGAACGAGAGGATTGCTATAAGCGTTAACAGTAGTCCATTGTCGCAAGTTGGATTGGGTGTTGGTGTAGTAGCTGGTGAATATGGAGCAGGTAGTATTAATAGTGGTATGGGAAGTGGTAGAGGAGAAAGACCAAGGATGTCCTTGTTGTCATCGGCATCAGTAGCCCCAGCACAAACACCGGCTGTGGGATCGGATTATCATATGCCAAGTGCGAGGAATCCAAGAGTAGGCCTTATACCCGTTCAAACGGATCAGTATTGTAGTCGTACTGCCGTCGAAATGACAACTTTGCAAGATGCCCCGCCGTTTAAAAAGATACGCCTTGGCCCACCAACTCAGGTTCAAATACAATCACAATCTCAGTCACGATGTCAGAGTCTTCCACCAACCGATGCTTGTATCAAACAAGAACACATTGTACCCTTGCAACAACCGTTGAGGATAGACACAAGGGTTTGTATATTTTGTTTTAATTATATTTTAAATAAATTCTTTTGATTTACAAGTATAATCCATTTATATAAGATAATAAGGTCTCCTCATACATTTGGTAATATAGATCTAATTATTTATTTTGTTGTTACGAACAGCCTGCCACAGGTGCGTATACGCCTCAAACGGAAGCGATATCCCCAACGCTTCCAGAGACCAATACGCAAGAAGATGCACAGTTCCGAAGTACGAAGGACGATCTTCTTCAGCAGATTGGTAAAGTCGATCGGGAAATTGCCAAGAGGGAATCCCAGATCAGTAAACTTCGGAAAAAGCTTAAGGAATTGGAGGAGACTGCTAATAAACCTTTGGAGGCTAGCGGTCTTAAGCGACAAATAGAAGAACAGTCGCAACAACCAAAGCATCAATCACTGGCACAGAAAATTTATGCTGAAAATAGAGTAAGAACATTTCTTTTTTCCACATGGTATTCAAGGTGTATCTTTAGCTCCTAAATGGTAATAATATTTATATATTATTGTAATTGTAGAGAAAAGCGGAAGAAGCGCATAGACTTTTAGAAAGATTGGGTCCTAAGGTAGAGTTGCCATTGTATAATCAACCATCGGATACTAGTGTTTATCAAGAAAATCGTACGAGGCATCAAACTTGTATGAGAGCGAGATTAATAGCAAGATTAAGAAGGGAACATGCTGAGAGAGCGTCTCTTCACAGGCAGCAGTCTCAATCTTATGCCATTCTCGTACAAGAATGGCATCGAAAGGTTGAACGATTGGAAGCAAATCCGAAAAAAAAATCTAAAGAAGCGAAGAATCGTGAATTTTTCGAAAAAGTATTCCCCGAATTAAGAAAGCAAAGGGAAGATAAAGAACGTTTCAACAGGGTTGGTGCTCGTGTTAAAAGCGAAGCTGATCTTGAAGAAATTATGGACGGTCTTCAAGAGCAAGAGGTATTATTTTATATACTATACATTATTATCGTAATTAAAAAAAGAATTAAAAAAATAAATAAAGTCTAATATTGGTACTACGTTGTCGGTAATTTACCGACGAGATTCGATGATAACGCCATCTGTTAGGACTTTAATGTACTTGCATCGAAATTAATAATTCTTTATCGATCTTTTTCTTTTTAAATTTTTAATTTTTTTAAATTATAAATGTGTAATGTATAAGAGATAAATAAGTAATTATGTTTATTAAATATTACAGATGGAAGACAAGAAAATGCGTTCGTACGCAGTCATACCACCTCTACTTTTGGATACCAAGCAACGAAGGATCGCATTTCAAAATCGTAATGGTTTACTCCAATTAGAAGAACTTGAAGCTTTACATAGTGAAAGAAAATTAATAAACGTATGGAGTTCAGTGGAGCACGAATTGTTCAAAGAGAAATATTTGCAACATCCGAAGAATTTCGGTGCGATAGCACAATCCTTGGAACACAAGTCTGTTCCAGATTGTGTGCATCATTACTACCTCACTAAGAAAGCTGAAAATTATAAACGATTGCTACGAAGATCTCGACAACGGACACGCAGTTCTCGTAACAATCCTAATAATAAGGTTAATATACGTAGATAATACATTCATTTTATCTCTATGGGTATTTTGAACTAATGAAAATATTAATAAACATAATAATATAATTTATAGGTAAATAATAGTAGTTCTACTATTGGACCTATCGACATATTGACAACGGGAGTTACCACAAGGCTGCAACGTGAGCAGCAACAAAAGACGCAGGAAAATCCTCAGAATAATAATACAGCAGCAACGTCATCGTCATCGTCATCATCATCATCAGCATCAGCGGCGGCGGCGACTACTACAACAACAACAACAGCAGCAGCAGCAACAACAACATCATCATCTACGGCGACAACAACGACTACTACATCATCAACGTCGAGTATATCAACTGGTACAACTACTACAGCGTCCTCATCATCATCGTCAACAAGTACGTCGTCGTCGTCGTCGTCATCATTGTCGTCGTCAACGTCGACGACAACTACGACTGCGGCATCGACGACGACGACCACGACGACGACGACGGCTACGACGACGACGATGACAGGTGCTCAGGGTTCTCTGATTATGAGCACGAATATGTCTTCTACTGATTCTGTTACGACAGCAACGACAACGTTAACAACAGCAGCCACCACCACCACCAACACGGCGACGATAGCTACTGCGACCACGTCTACGACTACATCCCTAAATTCAATCCTGATGTCGATTTTCTCATCAACGACGACTACGACGGCGACGACACCGGCTAATACGAAGGATAATAAAGAAATCGGTAAAGAAAACAAGGAGAACAAAGGGGATAACAAGGACTCGCATATTGTTAAAGTCGACGTTAAAGAAGAATCTAGTACGGATAATAATCCTACGAATAAGGACGTCAAAGTCATGTACGTATATTTTATAATATCATCCAGTATTGACTAAGTCATTATTATTTTTCTTATAATAATCTAATTATTGAGAGAAAAGATTATTGATTACTGAATTTCTTGGAGTTTGATTTACGTCTGGATTACGTTTAACTTTCAATTATTTATTCTATCAATTTTTATCAGTTGAAAGATTGTGCAATGCTTATTCTTTCATTGAAATCATTATATTATTATTATTATTATTATTTATACTTATTATTAAAACACGTATTTACTTATAGAGAATAATATTTAGGATTTGGGACCACAGAAACCCTGTAGCAATTAAAATCATTACAAATAATTATTGGATATACAGGAATGTGTTTGAACAATCCCAATCTCATCGGCTTATTCGTTTGTTTTATTTTCTTTTTTTACAACTATATGGGGAATCTCTTCATAACATGGGGGATGGATGATTCGAGTAAAATTGGAAAGAAAAGTAGGGATGATTGTTGGAATATAGGATTTATTTTTCAATTCGTATTGCTCCAATTGATTCTGATTTCTATAAAAGCCGGATGGCCTGATTGAATGAGTCGTTTCCATTGGGTGAAAGATATTCAATGTGCAAACAAAGCCTCACTTCCCCCGTACTCTCCTCATACTCTCGTCTTCTTCCTGATCCTCCTCCCTCAGGCTCCTTCCCTCTCCCCCTCTCTCTACCCCCTCATTCGGGAAATCACTCAGAATTCGATATGGTCGTCTCTTTCTGAATTTCATACGATGATAACTAAAATGCTTTCACTTTTTATCCGTGGGTGCATATTTAATGTTAAATTATACACACACACATACACATATACATATAAAAGCTTGTTTTAATCCAACCACGATCTTTCAACTATTGCATTAATATTATATCACAAAAAAAAGTTAACTCGTGAGAAAGAGGAGGAGGAGGAGGAGGAGGGGTAGAATTTACGTAATAATATTCAGTCAAAGAAACGAATTTACATTATGGAAGTTTAATCGATAGGAGAGTGGGGGGAGGCAAAGGTAAAAAGGATACCTAGGAGGTTGGTAGTAGTAGGGATACTTAAGTGGGGTTTGGCGAGACGTGGGAGAGGGGTGGGGTAGTTCAGAGAGGAGGAGTGATGGGAATAGGATGATAGATTTAAGGGTGAGAAGGGAGAGAATGGTAGAGGAAGAAGAAGAACAGTTATTAGCAGATTGTAATGCTAATCAATGGTTACTGGTTAGTGGATTATATTTACTCAACTACCATCCATCCATCGTCATAATTGAATTGATCATATTAGAAATTTCACACAGATAATCCCTTTACTGTTTTGAATGATTGAAAGACAATATTTCAATGAATGTGGGGTATACTAGTTTGGCGTACACCAAATATTTTAAAGTTTGACTGAGATTATTTCACATAGATTCCACTATAGGAAAATTGAATATTTTCTATTTATTTTGTTAGAAAATTCTAAACAATTCGATATACAAACAACTCTCTTCAATATTTGATATTAACAAACAGTGTTATTGTTATAAATCAAACAATTTTGGATTCGGTATAGTGTGTTTCAAATTATTTTCTAAGGGAAATTCTATTGGGAAGGAGGGTGGGGGGTGGCGAGGGGAATAATCATGTGTGTAAGTTCTATGTAAATAATAATGATATTTAATTTTGTTGTTTTCCTTAGAATGGAAGGTAAAAACACGTTGTCGTCAGGATCAGCAGCAGCGTGCTCGTTAAGCGCCAACACCACCAATGTACCTGCCATGCAGTCCGAGTTTAAGGATACGGGTAAAAAGAAAACGAGTTGTAGGGAAACAACCGGTGGTAGTAGTAGTGGTATTAATACGGCAGCTACTAGTAGAATTAAGGATAAGAAAAAAGAAAATCATGCCAATCCAATGGAAACCAGTGATGAAGAAGCACAATCCACGGATACCATTGGTGAGTATACAGTCAATTGTTTTTCTATACCGTGCGGCGTTTTCTATATTCGCATAATATTATCTTTGCCGCTTCATTTCTTTCTTTTTGGGATTTTTTTTTCTTTTCTTTTTTCTTTTTTTGGATTACAAAGTAACGAGGTCAACCAGGGACAATCATCGAAATCGTAATATATCTTATTAATGAAATATTATATGAAATAATTATTAAAACGTGAACGAAAATGTGTTCCCCAGAACACCCGAGAATATTTGTTATCGGTAATTGTTTTTTTGTCTATTTTTTATTTTTCTTTTTTAAATAATACTTTTCCTTCTTCTTCGTTTTTATTATTAACAAAAATGAAACTTTTATTTTTATATATTTTATTTTATATTATATTATATTATATATTGTGTGTAATGTTATATTATATTATATATATTATGTGTAATTTTTAATTGTTCAATAATTCGGAGCGGTTAAATTGTTAAATCATTTTTTCAAATGATTTATACGGCGTATTTTTTTGTTTTAATCGTACCAAATATTTTATATAATTGCGCTCGGTATTTTTTTTTAATTATGTTATTCAATGAAATTCAATGAAATTTTTAATTGTTTTACGATATCTCTTCTTATTATTATTGTGGCAAATATTTTATTTATTTATATATTTATTTATTAATACAAGTATATCTATCGAATTTATTTTCAATTAATCAATTAACTGATTGTATATGATCTGACTTGTTTGTAAAGTGTTTATCTAAATTATTTACAAGTCAATTACAGTTAAATGATTAATTCATTACCATAATTGCAATATTTTTTATCTTCTATGTTGTTATATCATCATTGTTAAATAATTATAAACTGCATAATTATAAAACGAATAACGTTTAGAACAAACCACACCACTCCATTATTATTATTATTATTATTATTATTGTATCAACGTTATAAGAAATTTTTTTCTGATAGAATTAATTATCTATGGGGGAAAACAATTAACGCTATTAATTATTAATATAGAAAATGAATTGATATTATGATTGAAAGAAACTAACGAACTGTATATTTTTTTTTTTTTTAACATTCACATTCTTCTACACACACACACACACACACACACGTGCCACAGATTTTAATAATTTTGGGATACGATTTTTCCTTTTTTTTTCTTTTTTCTTTTTCTTTTAATGGACACGAAGAATAAATGCGTGGTGTATTGTGCTTAATTAATTATAATAATTGTTATTATTATCTCATATTTTAAAATCTTTTCTAAAGGACATGTTTGTATCAAGAAAACAGACAAAAAAAAAAATCCTGCCAGTGTTCATTCGTGATTAATGGGGGGTGTTGGTGTATCATCAACAACAGTAGGTTGAGTAATAGATTCTTGATCATTGTAGTTAACAACATCATCTCTGTTGTTAACCCTAGGATGATGATTATCTTCGACATTAGCGTGACACAATTTTCTATGCTTGTGTACGAAATAATAACTTGGAAATTTGCATCCGCATATTTTGCAGGGATAATATTGTACGTTCAAATCCAATAATCTAACTTCCCTTCTGTTTCTCGTGCCGCCATCTTGGCGATTTCTTTCATTACCAGTTGTTATAGTCGTCGTGGTTGTTGTTGGTGTAGTTGTTTCGTTGTTGGAAGATGATCTGGTAGGTAACAAATGTCTTTTAGCGTGTTTCCTATAACAGTATTGAGATTTGAAAGTATGCCTGCAGTAACCGCAACTATAATTGCCAACAACGTTGTTGCCAGTGGTGGTGTTGGTGGTGTTGGTATTGGTTGAATCATTGATTTGAGAATTTACCATAGGATCTATGGGACAATTTCGTATTCTCGTGGTCGGTGTTGTTGTTGTTGTTGTTGTTGTCAGTATGGAAGTTCTGCTACCACCATTCTCATCGTTTTCTAATGTTGGTCTAATTGTTTCCTCGATGCAATGCCTTTGCAAACGTGCTTGTTGGGATAACGTGTAATTTTCGTTTAACACACGATGGAATTTAACTGGACCATCGCAACAAGCAACATCGTAAACCACGGATAAAAGATTGTTGCTGTTGGAAGACGAGGGATCGTTACTATTGTTCGTGTTGGTATTATTATTGTTTTGATTATTATTGTTGTTGTTGTTGTTATGGTTATTATTGGGTATTCGATTTTTTCGTCTATGAGATGGTCGACGTTCACGTGGATCCATATCAGTTATGGTCAAACTTTTAGATGTATTATCGGTATTGTTGATTATTCTTGACGGTGAGTTTCCGATCGAATTTGAATTTTCATTGGATCGTCTACGTTGGTTAATTGCTGTTGTAATTGTAGTTGTTTCTCCTGTTGTCGTGGTTGTGCTGCTGCTGTTGCTGATGGTGGTGGTAGTTGTTGCCGTTGTCGTTGTTGAAATAGTGTCAATTATACGAGATGATGATTCTTGTTTGAAATGAACAACAACATCTCGTCGATCAACAATTGACTGATTATTATTCATTTTCTTTCCACGTCGGGAAGATGACGGTGAAGGTGATCGCGATAACGATGAGGAACGGGAAACACCCGATGGGGAGGATGATCTTGATGCGAATGCATTGAATGCTGCTGCAGCTGCAGCTGCTGCTGCTGCCGCTGCTGCTGTTGCTGCGTTAGCATACGGAAGAGAAGAAACTGGTGAAATAGTTTCCGGTGTTGTCGATCTCGAATGGGATCGGGATTTGACGTTGATCATTCTTTTGTTTAATTGTCGTGTTGGCGAGGATCTCGGTGATCTTGAAAGGTCTCTGTTGGTCGAGCTAAAAAAAGAAAAGAAAGTAATATTCATATAACATTTCTTTTTAAAATCAGGAAACATCGTTGATAATCTAAGGAAAATGATGGCTGCTAACCTGTAATGCGTGCTAGACGATGGTTCTTGAGTTTCCTGAGTACTTAAACTAGGAATGACCGATAAGTTAGGTGAAACGGATGGTGGGATTAGGACAGTAGTTGGTTGCATTTGAGGTAAATGCGGTGGTAGACCGACGGATGTTGGTCCTGTCGCGGTGGAAGGATAAATTGAGCTCGTTTGAGGCCAACACAAAGGTGGTCCCAATACCAATCTATTTGGTATTGGTCTAAGTATACTTCCAGGACCTGAATTAGATGTTGACGTTGATGTAGAAACTGGTGGTATTGGTATGGGTGTTGGTAAAGGAGGAGGTGCTCTTAATCTGAGTAAAGCAGCTCTGCATTGTTCCAATGCACCAGGCATATGCAACAAATGCGTGGCCAATAGTACACTGTAGACATTGTCCAATGTTACTTCCAATCTACCCGTGTACATGTAATTTAACAACGGGGCAAATGCTTCTCCACCTGAAACATCAAACGTGTTTCATATTATCACACCACTTATTAAATATTATCTACACACGCACACAGACACATTTTCATTGATAAATCATCATCACTCTGATTTTGTATTCGTTTATAGTATTTCAATTACCGATGGAAGATACTGAAACAGAAGTAACCGGTTGTTGTTGTCTCGCATGTTGTCCACCTAAACCTGTCGCAGTTGCCGCCGAGCTACTAGAACTCGCCGAATTCAATCCGGCAAAGTTTGGTGGACCGTTATTCGAATTGTTGGCTGCTGCACTAGCTAGCAATGCCTTCAAATACCCACTGTGTGCAGCTAGAATACCCTTGTGTGCAATGAACTGATGTTCACCCTCGTTACCAACTCTGATCACTGTGTCGGGCGGTGAAAGTGTTTCTTGCAAACGATTGTAATTGTCAGCAGCGTTATCGTCACCGAACCAAGCTCTGTACAAACTGTACATCCTGATAATATTTTGCCGACAATTTTTTGTTAACTCCTAAATTATTATTTCGAACATTCATCAAAATATTTCCCGAAAAAGAAATTCACTATCGATTAAATATTCTCCACAAACACCATATAGTTATTAATTATTATTATTATGTTATTCCGATTGATTTAAGAACAATTTTCATCACTGTTGTTTAATAATAAGAACAATCAAAAATTCTTCTTTCCTTCCTCTCTTTGATGATCGTAATGAAAAAAAATCTCAGCAAACGAATGATCAAAATCATGAAAAGAAGAACCCACCCCCCCTCGAATGATTTGAAATTAAACAACAAAAAACAAAAACAAATATAAAACACTTTTGACAAGAAGGACGATTAAAAATAAGAATTAATAAAACCCCGTATCCTCGATTGATAAGAGGAAAATTATAAGAGAACAAACAACACCACCACCACCACGATCAGTAGTAGAAGAGAAGAGCTGTTGTAGCGACGGGGATCACGGTTCTCCGTGATTTGAACGCCAGAGTTGGATAGCAGGATTGTCCTTTCCACCTCCATCGAACCTATCAGCTTACCCTTTCCTCTACCACCTTGTCCTCGCTGTCTCCACCTCGTTATTATTGTCGTAGTACAGGTTAACAGATATTTCTAGTTGTCTGTGTGTGCATATATATATATATATCTGTGTTGCGTGGGTGTATATGCCTAGTATGGGGGTGTGTATGTTGGATATAAATGTGTCCGATTTGCGCTAGCTTTTTCTGTATCAACCCTTCCCCCCTCAGCCCTCCACCCGTGTTCCCCCAGAAAGTTTCATCCTGCGCGTTGGTTCGTAGGAACCCCACCAGTCATCGTACGCCGTGCCCCAACCCTCCAGCTATGAAGATCCGCCCCCGAGTAGTGCAGATTGGATGTTCTCCTGTCTGCCACGGTCATGGTACACCACCAAGTGTGTTGCACGTGCGCCGACGACTCATTTCCTCTCATCACATTCCCTCTCTTTCCCTCTTTCAATCTATCTCTCTGTGTTTTTCTGTGTATCTCTACCTGTAGGGGGTTCCTCTCTCACTGTTCTGAACCCTTCTCGATCTTTCGAACCAGGTTTCTTCGAATTTGATCTTTCTATTTGTTTCTTGAACTTTAGGGAAAAATAACTAGAAACGTTATCCTAATTTTCTTAAATTCGATCAGATTGGGGGAAAGATATCATAAGAAAATAACAACCTCTTGTCTATTGGGTTGACAATTTTTCTTAATATTCACCGAAGTATTTATTATTATACATTTCTACTTTCACTTTTAGAATCCCATTGTTAACAGGATTGTGGATTATGATAGAGTGTTAATAGTATAAGGGTTATTTTGTTCTTTAAAACGATTGAAAAGTTTATACATCATGGGGCTGGTTTGGTGGTGTACGGTTGTTGAAAGATGTAAAGAAGTACTCGTAAAAATATACACTCACTCACTGGAAAAGAAAGAGAAAGAGGTAGAACTAGATGAGAAGAGAAGAGAAGAGAGTGTTTTTTGGGTAACTTCAAGTGTGCAGCCTTTTTTGGGGGGATGCGTCTTTTACCGTTCGTTCTCTCCTCTACTCTTCTCTTCATCTTTCTCTTTTTATCTTTTTCCTATCATCATCGTCATCTCATCTCTTTCTCCCACTTTTCTTTCTTTTTCTTTTTTTTTTTTTTATTTCTTCTCTCTTTCTCTATCGGATGGGGGGGTGGGGGGTGGTCTATCTTTCAACCCACGTTTGGTCTCTGATGTTTTTCATTAAATTAACTCACGGCACGACGAGAGTACCACCAGCAGGAGGAAGGGGGAGAGTGGGGTGAGGAGGAGGAGTGAGTATTCCTTCTCTTCTCCTGGGGTGTTTGCATAATATCGTTTATAATTCACGTTGCGCTGAATCCCACTTTATTCTGCCTCATACCCATTCCGTGTAGGGTGTAGGTTTCTCGTTTACTTTTTATTTCTTTCTTTCTCTTTCCAACCCTCGACTACTACTACTACTACTACTACTACTACTATCCTTCTTTTGCGACGAGGTTTCACATAGTACTCTCTTTCCACCTGACGACCCCCCATCACCATCCCACCCTTCATTCCTCTACGCTCGTGCCGGCCGTTCTTCTTCCTAGTAGTTCGGTAGAAAAGAGAAATTGAGCGGTTCATATAAAGTCGTTGGGTTGGTTGGTTGGTTGGTGTATTGCTGTTGCTGCTAGAAAGGGTTCGGGGTTGGGGGTTGGTTGAGGTTTCGGGGTTTCACAGTAGTATTCCTTCGTATATTCTTTTACAAATACCAAGATTTATTTTCATTTAGTCTTTAGGACTATCGATACACAACCTAGACAATGTTTGCAGGACAGAGTTAACATTATATAATAATTATTTAATATAAACACATGGATGATGCATCGTACATCATTTTTTGTTCTATTCAATTAGTATTTAAAAAAATATATTATCGAATAAGTATCGTTTATATGAAATTCAGAATGAATTGTACGATAGACAACGAGTATACTCGTCGCGAATAAAATGCTATGTCCAACCCAACAACTACCCCCATCTCCGCCCCTGTCCCCTCACTGTGTTTCTGTTTTATCGTATCATTTTTGACGACACAATTTAGGTATACACTTTCCAAAGAAATGTTGTGGTATAACGAGGAATGCTAGTGATGCGTTAGTGGTGGTGGGGAGGGAAGGGGGCCCTCATCATTACGGTTAACTGCCTGTGGTTATTAAGAGGTATTTAAAAGCTTGATCTTTTTGTTTGTTCCTAAAAGAGAATGATGGGAGGGGGCTAGAGTAGTGGGGGTTGTTAGAATATGCGAAAGAATAATGGTTGGGGGGTCATTATTAATGTTTGGTATTATATTGAAAGAGATTTGTTGAGCTAGCGCAAATATGTTAAACACAAGAAAAAAAAAAAAAGAAACAACAACAATACACAAAAACTATATGTTGCAGTTTATTCTCGGATAATAATTTGAATGGGGGAACGATTCACGAATAGTTCATTTTTTATCGGGATTCCTATACTAGCCCCTCCCTCCCCTTCCTTCTTTCTTCCCCTCACCGCCGACAAGTATAATTCCTTTGTAGAACGTATAAATCACCTACACATACACACATATATACATACAAGTAGTTCATGCCATTCGGGATGCCTAAGTTTCTCATTCTCTTTCTATTTTTTTTCCTTTTCTTTTTCTTTTTTTTTTTCCTTTTTTTGTATTTTTACTAACAACGAGAAGGAGAAGAAGAAGAGTATCCCGACAAAAGAGCTCAGAATTTCTAAAACAGTCCTCTAATAGGGAAAGTCGTCGACGGGAAAGCATGCCATGATTGCTGTGCCACCATACCATCACTATTACTATCACCACCACCAACCATCGGTGGCGCATAAACAAACGGGAATTGCCCAACGAGAGAGGAGAATCCGTCGCCGGTTGAGTTTTGAACGGGATATACAACGATTACGCACATTTCCCAGGAGGCCAAAGAGCTTCAAATCGAAGCTAACACAGACGCTAAACCCACCCCCTCCTCTTCCTCCTCTTTCTACCCTTCTCATACTAACGTGTTTCCTTTTCCATCTTCCTCGTACCAACTACTACTACTACTACTACTATTACCACCTTTATTTATCATCAGCACCACCACTACTATTAACAACAACCAATATTATCATCACCACTTTATAATCCACTCTTTCGTAACGAATGTACTCTATTGGGGGATGGGGGGGATTATTGGGGGTTGGAGGTTAGGGGATGGAAACCTTAACTAGTTCTTGTCATCGTCAATTGTTTTTATTTATTTTCTTATTCATTGATTTTGATTTGTATTATTAGGAGGTAGGTTTGTGTGGTGTATTTTAGGAATGGAAAAAAAACATTAGACAGGATTATTGAATATTTAATAATCGTATGACCAATTTTTTCTTATACGATTGCTAGTAATAAATATTAATATATCCCTAGGTAATATATTATTACCTAATAAGATATGTTTTTTAAGATTTCAAGAGGTTAGGGTCATATCATTGTTATAATTAATCCTTGAACGATTTTTGGTCAGGAAAATGATGAACTTCTAGAAATGAAAGAATAAAGATAAAACTAATATGCCCTAGGTAGGGCATATCATTACCAAATAAAAAATATTAGTATATCTCTAGATACACATTACATCATAACCTAACCAAAAATATTAGTATATCCCTAGATACATTACGTCATAACCTAACCAAAAATATTAGTATATCCCTAGATACATTACGTCATTACCTAACCAAAAATATTAGTATATCCCTAGGTATATTAGGTTATTACCCAATAAAAACTATGAAAATTTCGACACATTAGGATGAAATCATATCATAGTTCTTGATCTTTGCTTAAGGAAATAGTGAGATCCTAAAAATGTGAGTTGAAGAATAGAGAGAACAATATTTGATAGGAAGAAATAGGAGGAACAGAAGAAGAAGAAGAAAAGGAAAAAGAAATAGGGTACTACTGCTACTACTACTACTACTACTACAACCAACTACCATCACCATAACCAGCAGTAGCAGCAGCTTCTTGAATCTCAGAATGAAAGAACCCTCTCGACGTCGGTTTAATGCTTCAAGCTCGGTCGAGACAACCTGAGCAAACACTTTCCGCGATATTACCAGGATCTCGCGCGGCCTTCCTTCCACTCTCAAGAGTTTGCTTCTTCACTCCCACGCTTTCAACTGCTATCTCAACGTTATCATTCCCCCTTTACACCCACCCCTTCTCCTTCTACTGCTACTTCTTTTTTTTCCTTTTTTTTTTTACCTTCCCTTGTAAGATAATAAATACACTTGCTCGTTCATTCCTCGTACGTTATTCCAATCCAGTACCTATTACTAATATACTATTCTCAAGAATATTCTTTCATAGTATTAACAAATATGTTCTATCCTTTTAATTTTATATTATTCGAAAACAATTAATCAATTTTTCTTTTCTTTTTATATTGGGATGGTAAAATCAATTTGTCCATGAATATTTAATCAATTTTTAAATTATCAAATGCAATATATATTCTAATTGTAAA